CATGACTCTTACTTAATCTGCTCCATTTCCCGGCTTAACAAATCCCTTTAAAATCATATTTTTCTCCCGCCATGGCAGGAATATGGTTGGAACCAGACAAAACTCAAATTGAAGTTTAACTGCAAAGGCATGGGATTGAGAGGTGGTGGGCCCTTTAAAAGGTGTCTGGGTCATGGAGACAACAGTCTCTTGAATGGATGGATTGGTGGATCCATTAGTATGGATTCCAGGAGAGTGGGTTATTGGTCACAGTGTAGCAAGTTATAGTATAAAGAAAATCCAAGCTGGGAGTTGTGGCACACCCCTGTAATCACAGAGGACTGAAAGTTTGAGACCAGCCTCATAAATTCGGTAAGGTGCTAAGCAAGTTAGAAAGACCCTGCCTCAAAATAAAAAATAAAAAGGGCTGAGGATGTGACTCCGTGGTATTAAAAAAACCCACACCTGGGTTCAATCCCTGATACCAAAAAAATAAAGATAAAAAAATACAGAAAATACAGCTAATCCAGCTTCCTTGTCTTTCTCTTGCTCCTCCCCAAGAAGCACCCACTGTCCTCTCCACTTTCTACCATGAGTTGAGGCCACACGAGGACCTCACCAGAAGTCAAGCAAATACCTGCTGTGGTTTAGACAAGTGTCCCCTCAAGATCTATATACAACAGCTTGGTCCCAGGGTGGTCTTAGGAGATGCTATGACCTTTAGCGGGTGGAGCCCAATGGAGGGTCACCTGAAGTGCCCTCACAGAGAACGGCGGGGCCCTGGCCGATCCTGCCTCTCGGCTTCCAGCATCATGATGTGAGCACTTGTTTCAACGTATGCTCCTGACATGATGTGCTTCCCTCATCAGAGCCCAAATCTAGGGGACCTCCAGACCTTGGACCTGCGCCTCCAACACAGTGAGATGAATAAACCCTCTATTCTTCATTATTGTGATGCAAAGTTGACTGACAAATGCTGACTCTGCAACCTCGGGCTTCCCAGCCTCCAGAACCATGAGCCAAAACAAATCTCCATCCTCATAAACGACTCAATCTCAGATCATAGCAACAGAAAACACCAGGACACTTCCTCATCCCTCTTCCAGCCCAGGCAATCCCACACTCAGCCTGGGAGGCTCTTCACAATCTGTTCCCTGTGCCCACATTCCACTTCCCTTGTCTCCCAAACACACTCCTCACCCAGAGACCTTCCACGTGAGGTTTCCTCTGATGCTTGCTCTGTGGGGAGCACTCTGCCCACTTGGTTAATTAATTTCCTATGATTCTTCAGAGCCATCTAGATATTACCCTCAGAGAAGTCTACCTCAAGGATCTAGATATTCAAGTCCACCCTCTCCGGGTCGGTGATTTTTATTTTCAGGTTTTGTTTTATTGTTTTGATTTGTTTGCTTATTGTCTCTCCAAAAATATATCACTTATTTTATACCAATGAGAAAAATATGAAAATTTTCTATCAGAGGAAAAATACCCACTCAGTCCTACAAAATGTAAAAAAAAAATTAATTGTGGATTTATCAAAGACTATTAAGCCAATGTGATAAAATCAAATAATTGAGGGTAAGTTCACTGGGTATTACACAAGACCTTGTGGAAAATTGCTTCTACAGACCTGAAACCTTTTGATTTATCAGAAAAGCTGAGCAGTTTGTAAACATCTATTACTCTTAAACAAAGTGCAGTGGGGATGTAAGTGCTCTCTCCCAGAAGGTGCGCTATACATTTCCTTTAAAGAAAACATGTAGTATCTGAAAATTCCTTACAAAAAGTCTTTGTAGAGAAGGTCTACTTGCTTGATCTTTTTGTATAGATTAAAGTACAGGAGTAGAGGATCATCCCTCACCGACATTATAAGGTAAGAAGTCCCTCGCCTCCTTGTAGTCCTTTCTCAAAATGGCTGCCAAGGCAGTTCTGTTAAAGTTAGTCGGCTCACATCAATCCTCTGCTCGGAGCTCTTCAGTCCTCTAAGCAGCCCAATATAATCTGGTGTCTCTTGCTCGTTTTTTCCTCTCCTCTTATTCACGCCACCAGACCTCATCTTATTTTGTGTTGTTTTGTTTGGGGTGAGGGTGCCCCGATTTCTCCAGCCTTGGGACTCTAGGGCTCCACCCAGGATGCCTCTTATGCTTTCCTCCCATAGAAGTGCCTGTCTGGCTCCATCAGTTCTGGTTTATCTAAGTCACACTTTCTATGGGAGGCCTTTCCTTCACCAACCTATTTAACATTGTACCCCTGAGACATTCTCATATGCTTCCCTCATTTATTGCTTTATTTTTCTCCTTAGCATATTTATTTATTTGTTTGTTTGTTTAGTTTGGTACTGGGGATTAAACTCAGGGGCAATTGACCATTGAGCCACATCCCCAGCCCTAAATCTCTAATAAAATTTTGTATTTTATTTAGAGACAGGGTCTTAGTGAGTTGCTAAGCGCCTCACCATTGCTGAGGCTGGCTTTGAAATCACAATTTACCTGTCTCAGCCCCCTGAGCGGCTGGGTGCATGCACCACTGTGCCCATCTCCTTAGCACTTTAAAAAAAAAAAAAAAAAAACATAGTTTATATTTATTTCAACATCTGCTTCCCCCAAAGATGGGGATTTTTATATATTTTGCTCACATTTGTTCCCCCAGAGCTTAGAAGAGAATCTGGTACATGAAATTGACTCAACATATATGAAACATGAATGCATGTATGTATGCATGTCTTACTTGAACTGGACTCACATAAGGTAGGAGACTCCTGTACAGAGGTCACGGCTCCTCCATAAGCTCTGCCCTAGACCATCTAGACCATTACATAACTGAAGACTCCCACCTTCAGGCAGGAGTGGGTAGTACATAATTGGCAGCCACTTGGCATTTTCTTTTGTTGGGATAATTTCAGTTCTCATTTGATCTGTGCCTTTTGATACCCAGAAGATTCCTTTTCATGGTGATTTAAAAAAAAAAAAAAGAAAAGAAATGGTCTGGCTCAGAGAAGAAATAGTCCTAATATGGCAGATGCTAACTACTGAGACTAATGGGGTGACCCACAGTCAAACTAGGCCTGTTCTAGTTGTTTGAAATGTTCTCTGAGCATCAATCAAGTCCCAGCATAATGAAATCCAATGAGGACACATTAGGATCCTTGAAAGACCAACATGACAGCTGATATTCTGTAAGTCTTAGCCTGTGCAATAAATTTTCAAATAATAAGAAAAGGGCATATATAGATTGGAAGGGAAAATTAAATCTCTACTCAAAAACAAAATAATTGTCTTTGAAATCACACACAAAAAATATATATGAACAATGGACAAAAAAAAGTATTACTAAGAGTAAAACCAAAAATCACAAAATACTTATGTCTACATCTTACAAAATACATGGAAGATCTGCAGACTGAAACCACGTGCATTCAAAACCCAAAAAAGGGAAAAGACCAAAATAAGTGAAGACATACACCATATTCCCAAATTAGAATATTAATATCATTATGAGAATTTTCACCAAACACCTATATACAGCTCAATAAAAATCCCAATAGTGTTTCTTATCTACAACAACAAGCTGATTCTCAAATTTATATGAAAAGACAAATGACTAGAAGAGTCAAAATAATTGGGCATTCACTACATAACTTTTAAAAATACTATAGCTAGTTGTAGGAAAAACTAACCACACTTACTGTAGCTTTAAGACAGTGTGCTTTTGAAGAAAGAGTAGAGACACAGATCCACAGAAGAGAATAGAGCATCCAGAAATAATCACAAACATGGTCAACTGATATTTTTAAGGAAAATTTTGTTTATATTATTATAAATAATGATTTATCATAAGGATTATTATGCAGTGTTATAAATTAACTTTTTTGAGAGAATTTGCACAGTCACAAACAATTTTAGGAGGTCTCATGCTCCCCCAATTATGACATCTCACAAAGTACAGTGAAAAATCCCATGCAGAACACTGGTGTTGACAGAGTCGAGATACAGAACGTGTCCATCACCACAAGCTTCCTTCAGGATGCCCTTCAATAGCCACAGGCGCCAGCCTTAATGCCCTCCTTAAACCCTGGAAACCTCCAATCTCTTCTCTATTTAATAATCTTATCATTTCAAGAATGTAATGCAGATTGGATAAGATAACACATCACTTTTGAGATTGGCCTTTTTCACTCAGCATGATTCTCTGGAGACTCGTCCAGGTTGCTGTTGCACGATGGCTTTTTTCTTTTCATTGATGAGTATTCCATGGTATGAAGGCACCTCATTTAATCCTCCATTGAAAGACATCTGGGTCACTTACTGCTCTCAGCTATTACTCATAAAACAGCTATAAATATTCATATACAGGTTTCTGCTTTTGTGTGAACAAAAATTCATCTCTCTGGGATGAATGCCCAGGAGTGCAATTGCTGGGTTTGTGTAGTTTTTTAAGGAAATTGCTAAAATATTTTTCAAAGTGGCTACACTATTTTATATTCTCACCAGCAATATATGACCATCTAAGATGCTTTGTACCCTTTCCAAGCCTTTGATGGAGTCAGAAATTTTTATTTACCCACTCTAATAGTGTTATCTCATCATGGTTTTAATTTGCATTTCCCTAAAAACCAACAATGCTGAACATTCCTTGATGGGCTTATTGCCTCTGTATATCTTCTCCAGTGAAGACTAAGTTCAAGTTTTTGTTAATTTTTTAATTATTGATTTTCTTACTATTGAGTTTAGCTCTTTACTAGATTCTAGTCTTTATCAAATCTGTGGTGTTTCAAATATTTTCTCCCATTCTGTAGCTTCCAATTTTCTTATTGACTTTTGCAGAATGAAAGATTTAAATTTAATGAAGCCAGTTTTCTAGCTTTTTATGGATATTTTTGTTGTTGCATATCTAAGAACTCTCTGCCTAATTCTATGTCGTGAAGACTTTTTTCTGTGTCTTCTAAATATTTTATGGTTTTACATTTATATCAATGATCATTTTGAATTATTTATTTATATAAGATATGAGGTTTAGGTAGATTCTTTTTTTTTTTTTTTGCACATGATACCCAATTGTTCCAGCACCATTTATTGAAAAAATAACCCTTTCTTCATTGAATTAAATGTTTCATTACCTCATAAAATATCAGTTGAGACTATGCTTCCAGGGAAATGGAGTAGACATATGTTTTCCTATTCCTTCTAGAAAATGTTAAGACTAAAAATCTTGGACGTTATATGCAAAACAAACATAAGGCGGAGAGGAAAGGAAAGAGAAAGACTGGATCAAGACCTTATGACTCATGAAACACCATCACGGTGAGTTCCCTAGATTTTCTTTTTGCTTCATATATTCCAGACTTGAAGCTGAAGAAACTGGACACTTGAAAATGCCACCAGGCATGGACAAAAATGGTCCAAGGGAAACCTGCTTTCAATCAATAGCCACTGCCGAAGTCTGGCTGCAGCAAACTAACGGGGGGGGGGGGGGGGGGGTGACGAGCAACTTGTGAAGGTTGATACAGCAGGAGTGGGAGCCGTTTATTGTAGGACAGTAGGGGTATATATACATAACTAATTTCACACAGCTTATCTTAATTAACATAAACTAGGTACAGCAGTCAACCAATAAGGAATCATCATCTTAATGATTACACACAGCTTAACTTAGTTGACATAATCTAGACACAGCAGTCAGTCATTAAGGAATCTCTATCATCTTAATGGCTCGCTGGCGTTACTTCACAAACCACTCCCTCTGGCAAAATGCCAAGTGCCATCTTGACTTGTTTACGGACCCTAACAATCCACCCCTGCCCCCAGAAAACCAAGAAAGGGATAGCCTAGCGAGACAAAATTTAAGGAAATAACCACTGCACTCCAGCCAAGTGCCATGGAAGAAACGGGGGCCCTCACCATACCCACATCATTAAAGGCTGAATCAGGACCCCAGACTTCTCCCCTCCTGAGGCCGTACTGATGTGCCCCAACAACCCAAGGCTGTTGCTTTTGACTTGATGGGTTCCAAAAGAATCCTATTCACAAAGTTCCAGGTGCATACATACTTGGTGCGTCCTAGCTAGGCAATTTGTCTCTACCAGAGTCCAGAAACATATCGGAAGCTGTTTTTCAAAAGGCATTTAATTTTGTGCTGTGGGCAGCATGATTTTGATCCATAATCCCATTATAGGACCTGTCTAAGATTTTCCATAAGCAACACATTACATCTTTTTCCAGTACTGACATCTTCAACACCATAAGATCTGCCAGATAATATGACCCAAGCAGCAGGATTACTTACACCACAGCCCAGACCTGCTACAGAGCTCTTTTCTGCACTGGTTTCCACTTAAGTTGACAAATTTCCATGTCACCTAATATATGGGCTGATATAATCAATGTTCTTAGGTGATAAATGTATCACTTTAAAAACTGTCCTTCTCTGATTAGGATGGAAAGGAATGCATTTACCACATCAATACCATGTTCCTACTCTACCAATGATGTCTGTCTAACACAGAGGCTGTGATCAGGGCTACTGTTCAACGAAGTCTGTAGTAGTCTACAGTCTTTCACATTTTCATTGTAGCTATAATCTTTGCCATCCTTCCACACCTGTAAAACATCATCTTGCTCTTTATTTAATATCTTATCTAGGAGCAGTGGGACAATTTTAGATATTTCCACTCATCTTTTCCCAATATAACTCTTACTGCCCAGGACAAGTATCCAATGTGGGGGTTACTTCAACCACCAGGTACTTCAACTCCTGTTACATACCTGGGAAATGGGGAAGTGACTACTGGGTAGGTTTATAAACCCAGTGGGTGCATTGTGCACCAGACTTTAGTCAGGATTCCATTTATTACCTCATTCCTAGAAGATTCCATTCTAATAGGGGTGCCTAGAAGATGCTTTGCAGTTCTAAGTATCAATGTCAACTCAGAACCTTTGATCAATATTCCTAAGTATTTTTTTTCCCAAGCATCTAAAAAAGCGTCCCAAAGTACGTGGATCACTGATTATCTATAGGCTTGAATTCTAGCCTCTTTGATCATGCAGTCTCAACATCCATCCCAGATATGTCCCTTGTTCATGCCAATACATGCTAACTAACTCTTAAAGAGCTTTCTATGTTTTCTCTCCTTCTTCCTTTATCTGGCCGAGTACTTTTCCAGTTGGGTTACACTAGGACTTAATCCTAATTAGACAGAGAAGTGAGGCAGTTCCCGAGAAGGACATCTCTTGCCTTAAAGGTGGGGCTCCTGCACCACCTTCCAACACAAGCTAAGAATAGACCACCTTTGCAAACTCTGAGGATTCAGGTGAATCCTTCTGTATACTACCAGCACATAGCTATGATCCCCACTTAGAAACGTAGATACTACTCCAGTGGCATACCTCTGCCTCATCAAGTGTTCCCCCATAGTAAAAGGCTGTGCAGTGCTACTCCCCCATCCACTCCCAGAGTTTTCAGCCTCCCTGCTCCCTCAAGCCTGTTCCCTTGTTCTAAACTATTATTTTACTGTTTTATAAACCTGTTTCCTGAAGGGTCCTAGATTACTCAAGACTTTTCTAAAACGTTAGCCTTTCTTCATGTTGCATTAGATGAAAAAAAAAAAAAAAAAAAAAAAAACCTTCCGTTACTTCTGTGTTAGAAGATCCCACTGATATTTCCTCATAATTCCAAAGTTCATTTGAAATCATCTGAGTGATCTGAAATAAATGGCTGAACGATTATTGGAAATATTGACATATTTCTTCTCCATTCTGTATTCACTAAAATCTTTCATTTTCCTCCTCTTCCTGCCCTGCACATCTAAGCATAAAACATCTACCACAGAGTCCAAAACAGAACATGAAAATAAAATCATACATCACATAATAATATCTTGGCCAACAACAAATTTCATACACAACAGTGACATCACAGACATGCTAACACAATGCATTCTTCACGTGTTTGTGATGATGCTGGTATAAACAAACCTATTGTTCTACCAATCATATAAAAATCAGCACAGGGCTGGGGATGTAGCTCAGTGGTAGAGTGCATGCAGGCATGCATATGGCCCAAGGTTTGATCCCCAGCATTGCAAAAGAAAAAATATAGTAAAGTATAGCACATACATTATGCACAGTAATAATAATAACTTTAATGGTTTATATATTTACTATACTATGCTTTGTTGTTGTTTTAAAGTATACAAGTCTACTGTTATGCCAGTAGCAACCTCACACATCTTGTGTTTACTGCATCTCCTGGTTGCATCAAGAGGACAAGTTGAGGGCTGGGGATGTGGCTCAAGCGGTAGCGTGCTCGCCTGGCATGCGTGCGGCCCGGGTTCGATCCTCAGCACCACATACAAACAAAGATGTTGTGTCCGCCGAAAACTAAAATAAATAAATAAATATTTAAAAAAAAAAAAGAGGACAAGTTGATAACCGACTCAAGCTACCTAAGCTTGTGTATGCAGACTCTCTGATGTTTAATGATGCCTTTATAAGAATGTAGGGCTACAGGACCAGACTACTGGGCTAAAATAAGCTGCCTTTAGTCTAAGAGGAAATAAAGAATTAGGTACGGATTTAATGAGTGGACATTCCTATTCATGGAGGCCACAGAAAAGAGAGTCTGGAAACAGATGAAGAGAAGCCAAGACTATATAGTAGTCTGAGGTTTTAATGTATCAGAGTCATCAACCCTGCTAGAATTATAGAATCATAAATAAACAACAGTATACAATGAACATGTCATCAAAGAAGCCCTATTATATTTAAGAAAACAAAGACTTCAATACATTTTCACCAGGAATTATTTAACAAAAATTAAAATATTTAAAGCATTCATTTCAGTGAGAGTGTTCATTATTCCATGGTTCTAGAACAGTGAGACAAACTAAGTTTGTACCCAGCATTAGATTCATACTGTAAATCTAATGAATACTAGCACACCTGATAAAACAGACTATATTACTATGTCAAGTTGCACAAGTCACATAAATAAAAACTACACTGAAGCAACCTAAAACTTCACCACAAAACTTTATGCAGCATAAATTACAATAGAAACATGTCTCATTTTGCAATGCATTTAAGTTGTACATGCTAAAATTTGAAACTTCACTCAAGGATTTATCATACTAATAATTTATTCAGCACACTTTAAAGAAGTTAGATGTTTCTGTGTGCAGGGGAACTGTGGACCTCATGTGACAGGCAGGACCTGGGCCATGTGCCCAGGCAATATGTCCTTCAACTAAAAACAAGTGGATTGATAAACAATCACCAGAAGACATGCTGCTTCAAATCCTAGGCCATTGGACTTTTATGAAGCAAGTTAAGTTATAAGTAGAGGAAGAAACAACACTGTGAATTATTTTACAGTGCTTACATCTTTTATTGTTTAATGAGAATTTTGTATATTCCCATTTTGCATCACCAGTGTAAGAAAATTAAGGAAGCTCAACCTCTCAATGCTTCCACGAGGAATTGATGTAATCCATGTTCCCATCTGGATTATTAAAGGAAAATACCTACCACCTCAAGGGAAAGAAGCAGCTAGTGTACAAAAGGTTTGATACGGAAAACCCTCTTCTGTCTTTCCCTCCCAAATTCCCAAGCCAGCAAAAAAACCAAGAACACTGCTTAATGTAACATTACTACTTAATATTAGGTAGAAAATAAAGGAACTAAACTGGAAACACTTCTAAATAATTGTTTTAGAGTTCTAAAGTTCTCTCTCAATGATTTAAAAATAATGTATCTTTTAATTAGGAGTCTGGCCATGGAGAAGGGCATCTCCTCTGATCTTTGCTCAAAAATGTTCCTAATTACTCCATATCATTATAGAGTCAATTGTAATATATGCATATCATAAACATATACACAGGCTAATTATCCTTAGGATGAAAGCATGGCTTAAGTAATAATTAGTTTAGTTTTAACATCCAAAATAATTATTGTTCTTCACAATTTTAAACAAAGGGAGGAAGCCAAAAATAATTTAAATTAATACAAGTTTAATTTAAAAGTTACACTTAAAAGAAGAGATGCATAAGTAGCAGTTGCAGACTTACTAATGAAAGGTAAAAGTTACCAATTATAAACATAATTGTGTTGATATGCTAATTAAATTTTATGTATAAGATTAATTTAAAAGTATTAATTCTGAAAATAATACTTGCATGTATATGATAACAATGTTTAAAAATTGCATCAGCTTGCAAAAAAAATACTATTAATTTATAAAGAGGCTAGTTTTCCCATTGAACTATTAAATTGCCAATTCCAAAATCACAACAAAGTTAACAAATAATTGTGATTCCATTTAACATTCCATCTTTAAACTCTTCATTATCTTCACTGGGAAATAAATCCAAAGATAGGTTAATCCTAAATGAAAGGTAACAAAATTTAATCTTATTAATAAAATAAAACATCATGTCAGTCAGTATTCGTTGACATTTCTGACATTCTAGACTGTAGAGATCAGCGGGACACTCCTGCACTTACTGTGTTAATGACATGCTTGCTCTGGTCAGCCATGGCCTCTGGTGGACTCCAGGTACAGCCCGTACTTTCCTTCTCCGCTCAACACCTGCTAATACCCTTGGTGACTTCATCAGCTCCATGGACAGGAACTATGTTCCAGAAACATGTGTCACAGGCCACTGCAGGCACTCACCGCAAGCCCACTGCCCAGACCTGCCATCATTTGTGCTTTGCTTCCGGGTGCTGGAAGGCTTAGAGTTCCTAGCTGACATGTTCCCTTCCTCCTACTGTTCATGCCCCTCACTCTCAATGAGCACAGTCCCTTGACCTCCTGCAGACTCCATTGTGCTTCTCTCACTGACCCTCAGTGAGCTCTCTCTTTACTGCCAAGTAAGCCCCTAGAATCCCTAACTTTGAAACTAAAAACTCCCCTTCCTCCTCAACCCACCTGGTGTGCAGTCTCCTCTCTCCATCTCACAATGAGGCTTTCCTTTGCCCCTACTGTGAGAGCAACAAATGACCTTTATGCAGCACAGATTGATCACACTGGCTCCAATTCAACACTTTCAATTGCTTGCATGCAATTTTTATCTGGGTCCCCTCACTTCACCTAACATTCAACATTCAAAAATAAAAGCCAATACATTGACTAAAGAGTTCTTTCTCCCCACTCCTTCTTTCTTATTTCCTCGTTCTCAAAGCTCAGTGCCTTCTTTCTGATCCCGACATCTAATCATGTCTCTGCTCTACCTGTCCTTCCACCTTCCTTCAAGAACATTTCACTTTTTATTTGGATTGCCATGACAGTCACAAGTTTTCTTTTTCACCTCCTGATTGGTCTCCATTGAAAACCTTTTCACAAATGACAGATTCTTTCTAAAATGCAGATCTGATAGCTTCACTGTTTTAAAATGTTCTACATATTGATGAAGAATAAGATATTTGCATAGTCTCTTATTATCTTTCCATGGAATATTCATTAATTACAAAAAGAAAAATTGTAACCATAAATGGGCAACTTAACCTAGAGATCCAAGTCAATAAAGGATCAATGAAGATCACATGACTCCAGATATGATACTTTGAGAAGTAACTTTACTAATATAAAGTTCCAGTCAAAATGCATAACATAAATCAAATAGTAACAAAGTACCAGCAAGTCCAGAGGAATAATCTGAAACTTAACTAGTCTACTCCTTAAGAAAAAAAAAAAAAAATGTCAATATCATGTGCCGTCTCTGTCCAGCAGAGATGGCTAACTTAAGGTCACTCGGGGGAAATTCTCAAGGCGTTAGAAATAAAACACAGACACACAATTTACCTTTAAACCAAGCTCCAGGACAGCTCCTCTGCCCTTGGCTTCAAGCTCTCCAAACAGGAGAGCAAGGAACTACATGAGAGGCTGGCGAGAGAGCAAACACATTTTGGAGCGAGCTTTTATTAGGGGAAATCTAAATTTTTAGGAAATCCCAGTCCAATGAGGGTCAAGGGGAGCAGGGTTACAAGGACAGGCAAGGTGATTGGATCCCTGGGGATGTGGAGAGACACGCCCCTTGCACGAAGACACAGTTGATCGCACCCTAGAAGACTGGGACTATCCAGCAGCGTGATGGCCGGATGCCATACCATTCAGCAGGGGAGTCAAACATGGTCACATGCTAGATTGGCCTCTCACAATCATGAAGTAAAAAGAAAGGTTAAAGAATTGTTACAGATTTAAGAAGATATTTGACAACTAAATACAATACATGATCCTGGACTGGACTTGGTACATAGAAAAAACTACCATTAGACTCATTTGAGGCAATGGAAAACAATCAGAATATAAATTATATAATGGTTTTATATTAATGTCATATTTCCTGAATTCCATAATTATAGTGTGGTTATACAAAAGATACACTATTTTAGGGCATACATATTAAAGTATTAGGGGTAATAGTTTCATACACAGAGAAAGGATAGGAAAGCAAATGTGGAAAGATGCTAAAATTGGTGGATCTGGATAAATAATAGAGTTCTTTCTTCTTGCAACTTTCCTGAACATTTGAAATCATTTAAAATAAGTGGTCCATGCTTCTTCATTACCTGCTAAACAGACTACAGATCCTTGCCTAGCAGCTAAGTGAGACTCTTTGAAATACAATCTTAGGGTTTTTTTACATCTTTCTTTAATCATACTATCTTAAGTAATCTTTAATAAAACTGTACATTCCCTAAATGCTGTGGTTTGGACCTGGAATGTCACCCAAAGGCTTACATGTTGAAGGCTTGGTGCCCAATGCAGCAGTGTTCAGAAGCGAGACTCTTAAGAAGCAACTGGCTCGCCAGGGCTGTAGCCTGGAGCACTGGCTTAGAGGCTGGTGGCACCATTGGGAGGTGGAAACTTTAAGGGCAACCTAGTGGAGGAAGTAGGTTACTGGGGGTGTGCCTTCCCCAGCCCTTTCCTCCCTCCCTCTCTGTGCCCAGCTGCCCTGAGGTGAGCAGCGTTCACACACCATGCCTTTCTGCCATTGGATTCTGTCTCACCAAAGCAAAGAAGCCAGTCAGCCACAGAGAGAAACCTCTGAAACCATGGGCCAAAATAAAACTTTTCTCAAGTTGTTTTTCTTGGGTGTTTTTCACAGCAACAAAAAGCTGCCTAATACACTCAACATTCTGTTGGAGTCCATCAATTTGCTTATGTTCCTATCTAAGGTATATGCTCCTCTTCACAGTCCCACTTATAAAAATCTAATTTTTATTTTCAAAGGCCTGTCTTACCTCCTCTATTATTTTTCAATTCCCATAAAACTGTATGTAATCTCTCCTTAGGAGCTTAATGAGTCTAAATTATTAAGAAACCAGGGACATGATTGTTAAAAATAAAAAAGAACAAGATGGTCAGTTTAAAACCTGGGATATCAAAAGTAACTATGGAATAGCTTAAAGAAAATCAGAGGTCAGAGATAGAATAGAGATTTAAGTCATATACCTAAAAGAAGTAATTGGAGAGCTATAAATAAATATCAGTATGTTATCTGAAAGTGAATGTAAGGAGAGCACCGGTCTGACAGTTATTCCTGGAAAAGCAAAAGGGGCACATTAAAAATACACAGAAAATACAGTCAAAGAGGCAGAATGAGAACCATGACAGTCTTCAGGACACAAGAGAAAAGAAAATGTTGAAGGAGCTATAATAGAAAGATAGCATTAAATGTGACAGCACTTTCAAAGAAAAAGAGAAATAACTGGAAATATGAATAAAAGGAAGCAGAAGAAAAAAATGGACCATTGGGGGAGTGGTTTCAATAGTTTAATGAGAAGAACCTAAATGAAGTTTTAAATGTCAACAAATACTTAAGGAGTGCCAAATACTGGATTAAGGAAATAAGTAAGCTGGAACTAGCAGTGGGTATATATTAAAAGGCAAGGAAAAATCTATGCAGTTATTATCTAAATGGATTCTTACCAAAAGATGAGCATGAGATTCATCTTGTGTAATCTGAGTCTAGAAACAATATAAAACACAAAAATTCAAGTTTGTCTTTAGCATTGATTTTCTCTTTAAGAAATACATACTAAGGAATAAAGTTGTAACATTTTTGAAACATTATTGGTTTTATAAAAATTTTGTAATCTAGTTTAAGACTGTAATGTGAACTAATAAATTACAAGGATACCTTTTTGTTTATTAGAAACTATTTCTGAAAAACAAAACAAATTAAGTTGTTAAATAATCTTTACAAGCTTACTTTATGTTTAATAGAAGGCCTTTTGCTGAGGCACAAAAGAACCTGCCAAGTTCAAGGTCATACACCTGGATTATCATTCTCAACAATGCCCAGTGTTCCTGCACACTATTCTGCCTATTCAAACATCATTTTCTTTTAAACAATCTCTGACCACTTTCCTTGCTCCTAATCCCTCTTCCTCTTTATTGTCCTTTACTAGATACATGAAATAGAATATCATGAATCTGAACATTGGTTTATATGCCACCATTGCAAACAATTTATGCTATTATTGATGCAATATTATATGAACATTAAAAAGTTTCCAGTGTTTATATTGCTTACAAAATGGTATTGTTTTATTATCTTATTAAAATATTCTTCACAAAATTAAATACAAGTTTAATGACTGTCAAACAGAAATTGTCACCAAGTGACTATGTATTCTGAGCATCCATAGCAGCATTCATCATGATAGCATGCATGTGAAGCAAATAAATTAACTATTTTGATTTACCAATTCATATGACATTGATTATATTAATTTTATTCAACTTGACATTTTAAAAATCCAGAACTTCCAATTATGATAATAAACATAGTAGATTACATCACATTTTTCCCTGACCACAATATCAACTCATTATTGATGTGGCTTTAGAACATGGTTTAATTCATGAGCTGTTTTCCAGGAATGAAATACTGACATCAAGGCCATAACTCCAAGGCAGGTTTTAAGTGCCTTAAATTGTACTGCAACATCCATGGAAAGGAAATGACCACAAGAAGCTACATAAATAGAATGCATAATTTTATACTAGAGTTAAAATGTTTTTCTTCATCAATAAGGATGAGTTTTGTGATTGGTATTGAAATTCACATTTAACAGACAAGTGTGTTCCCTTTGCTCCATAAATTCCAGCCAACACACACTTTCTGCAACCCACCCACTCCTATACCTATGCCTGCAGTCTGCTCTACACTTACTCCTGGAAGACATCATGTGCTTTCAATTATAATGAATGCTGATAACATAGTAAGCTCACTTCTATAGTTCTATACATTAAATGTGACAACTAGGAAAACTACTAGTATAACATGCTCCAAGGTGAACTAAACCATTTATAGAAGTCAGTTTTCTTGAATACAATAAAAATTGTGTTAACTTACTTTCACTAGATAACTTCTGGCATTTCAGCCTGAGTCTATATTTTTCATTTTCTTCAAGCATTCTAGAAATGACTTTGTAAACACTGTTCCATACTGAAACCTTAAAAAATAAGCACAATTAAGGAATGCTGAACAGAATGTAGGAATGCAAGGGGTAATGATCCCACTATTACATGTCAATCAACATTATAAACAACATTAGCACCTAAATTTAAATATGATTGTTTCCTGTGATCACTGAATTATCTGTTCTCCTTTTCCAACTTCCTAGAATTCCACCACCTGTAGTATTTAAACTGTTCTGTATGAAGTTTCCTTTCAAAGGCAATGACCATCAAGTTGGAACCTAAATGGTTCCAAAAACATTCAATTAAAAAAAATAGTAAATTTCTATTTCTATGTCTAAACCATTGGGCAGTGATGTGATTTTTAATGTATTTAATTCTAGTTAAGAATTACATATTTTTTCAAGGACATAGCAAAACAAAATTACTAGACATCATGAATATACTAGAATAAGAATGAGTACTATGAGATCTAGACTCATAATCTGGAATTGGTAAGTGTTGAAACCTCATCAGAAATATCTTTACATCCTCAATTATTATGATTGATGAAAAATATATATGTAAAGCACTTACTTCCATGTCTGACATAACAACAGTCAAAGCAAATATTGGCTGTTGCTCTTTTCTCCTTACCCCAAAGGAAATTGTTCTTGGAAGAAATATTTCTTAGTGCAGTAGGAAGATTAGATGCTCTCTCAAAGTACATATGGTGCAAGGGTTAGTTACCCTGCATACTATTTTATATATACATATGGATTATATATCAAACAAATTCAAAGATCAGAAACAATACAATTTTATCATGATCAACTAATAATTTCTTTAAATTAAACTAAAATGGCAATCAAAGGCACCTGATCTTGACTTAGTTAGAACACTAAAGGCACCATGACATTTGGACAACTAGGTGGAGAACAGAGCAGCAGTAAAGATTCATCCCTGTCAGCTTTCCACTAGAGGCCTAACATGTACTCCTTGTCTTTGAAAACAGCTATGTGACACTGATATAGATAATTTTCCTTTTATATGAAATCCATGATTTTATTTTTATACCAAATTATCGATCAATTTGTTATATTCCATGAAACACAGATTATGCTTCAAAAGATCTCCCAGGGTTACATTTTGATCAAAAGGCATTTTATACCTTCAAATACTCTAAGGACTGCTCTTCATGGTTAATAAATATATCCAAGCTTACTTCCATTTCTGCCAAATTACTTCTATTTTCTCATTTCAGAAAATTAAATTACTTTATTGGAACTGTTTTCACTGACTTGAATATCTTCACACACTTTGAACTTCAATCTAAAGTTCAAACTATTGCTCACTCCCCTTTACAATAATATACCTTTTTCCTTTTTTTCATTATTTTGGAGGCTTCATTCACTGGTATAGGAAAATCAAACTTTTTAGCTGCATCTTTCTGAATGACACCTAATTTTTTAAAAGAGTAAAAACATATCAAAGTCAGTACATATTTTAAAGAATTCACTAACCTTAACATAGAGAACTCAGAAATGTCTCTTAAGGTCTTTTGGAGAATTTTTACACTTGTTGGTATATTTCTGATCATTAAATAATACTACTTTACCATTTAGTTAACAATATGCTGAAAAAAACCAAGAAACCTGAAAGTGAACAACCCTGTAGGTAACCTAGGAAATCATTCACTTATCCCATCTTCTCCCCTTTCTGATTTGTGAGTCCCCAAAGGGCCAACAACAGAATAAATACAAGAAACCACATCTTGCTGCTGTTCCACAGCCTCCCTCCTCTCCCAGGCCCTCCAGACACAGCTTGTGTTTCCCACCACACAATCCCCTGTGCTTCCTCCAGTGTGTCTCACTCATAACCCTCTCATGTGCTTCTGCACATGCTTCCCTACCAGGCACACATGTGTGCATACACACATACCCCAGGTGAATTCTGCCCATCCTTCAACACTCAACTCACATGTCACCTCCTCTCCACAGCCTTCCTTCAAAGACACAGCCCCACATACAGCACTGGCTCCCAGACCTCCTGCACTGTGCTTAGCACACTTTTATATCAATTTTCTGCAATCTGTTACCTCTGGGAGGATCTGGCTCTGAGGGTGGTGGCCATGTGTGGCTTATTCATCTCTTCATCTGTAATATTATAGAGGGCTCCTTGACTTATGAGGGGCTTATATCCAGATTAAACCCATCATAATTAGAAAATATACAAGTCACTAATGAATTTACTATACCTAATCTACACTATATCATAGCTTAGCCTGGCCCACCTTAAACAGGCTCTGCACTTCCATTAGCTCACAGTTGAGCAAAATCTCCTGAAGCAAAGCCCACTTTGTAATAGTGTTGGATATCTCACATACACACAGAGATGGATGTTTCATTATCACGATGGGATGCAAAAACACTGGCAATACAATACACTGTAGGGTACCTGTTTACCACGATTGACTGAGAGCCATAGCTCCCTGTTACTGTCCAGCAGCACTTGCAAGTGTCCTACCATGTTATCATAAACTACCAAGGTATCATAAAGTTGAAAAATTGGCTAAGTTGGGGGAGGTTTTACAGAATGAATAAGCTTACTGACTCCATTCACTGAACCAGCATTGTGGCCTTCCCAAAGTTAACAGAAGAAAACCAAAGGGCTTGTGTCCAAAGACAAATCATAGACAATGTGTGTTCCCTAAAAGCCTTTGCATTTGCTCTCCTTTTCTACAGCGTCCCCTAGCCTTCCCCATTTCAGCCCTGACCCACCATCACTCCACCTGAATCTTTTCTACACATTTCATAGTTAGCTTTGCAGGATGTAGTCTCTGATCTCACAAAGCCACTAATGCTCAGTTACACAGGATTTATCACATTATTTACTTGATTATTTATTCTTCCCTAGAGATTCAGTTTCTAATTGTTCCATTTGTTGAATGATCTAGAATAAGCTCTAAAATGACACTTTCCAACTGGTGAGGTACATGTCACTGATATAAGTGAGGCACAGACACAGTACTAAAGGACAATAATTCACACAGTGAGAAATATCCCCTTCCCCAATTCCTTTTCAATCTCTTAATTATATCAAGGAGGAGGTCTGAGTTTGGCACAAGCATGCCATTTAGAATTCTCTAAGTCTTGCAAATTTCCCTTTATGAACATAGACAACCTACTTATTTAGAATTCTTTTTTTTTTTGGCCTTTATTAGATTTATTTTTAATAAATTTCTATTTATGGCAAATAGTATAGGTTTTCCAGTGTGGTAATGATGTAAGGTGTTCTAAAAACAAATTTAATTAAGAAGGATCATGTACCTATTTAAATAAACGTATTAAGTAATAGTATAGATGATAATACAGCTATGACATAGAAAATTAAGTTTGGGAAACTCTGCTCTTTACATTCCCATGTTTAATCTTTCTTCTAAATGCCTTCAATATTTAGAACATTATATTTGCATCATTCCCAAAATTTCCTGTCTAAGTGTTATCCAGCCTATACCTATACTTCTTGAAGCTAGGATAGGAGCCATCAAGTTTGTCTGTAATTACTTGCAGATCTAAGGTATAGTAAGAAATATAGCCTGGCATTTTGGTACGTGCCTATGATCCCATCAGTTCAGGAGATTGAGCCACAAGGATTGCAAGTTCAAGACCAGCCTCAGCAGTTTAGTGAGGCCCCAAGAAACAACTTAGTTGAGACCCTGTCTCAAAAAACAGCAAAAGAGAGAATGTACAAAACAGGCAAAAATATTTCTTCCACTTAATTTTTGTACCACACTGAGGCTAACTCCAGTGTACACCATGGATTTTTGCCCCAACTTGTCCATCAAACCTTCCTCTACTCCTCTTTCTACACACTCCACCCAAACTGTATTTAAAGTTTTACCTAATTACTGCCCATTGCTGATCCATATTCAATAACTTGTCCACATTTCCTCCCAAGTGTCCTTTGCCCCTATCTCAGCTCCACATAGATATCACAAGGAACTTCCACCACCATCAAGCTGTCCTTGATTCTCTCACCCCCAAGTTATTCAACACTTCCAAAATAGTATAGCACTTCCACAATAGAATTCAATCCTCTTTTATTTATAATTTATGGATATATCTCCCAAACTCTGTGTAGACAAGAAGCCAGCCTGATTTATTAGTCTTCTCTGGAATGTTAGGCCAGGTGCCGTGGCACACACCTGTAATCTCAGTGACTTGGGAGGTTATCGCAGGAGGATCACAAGTTCAAAGGTAGCTACAGCAACTTGGTGAGGCCCTAAGCAATTTAAAGAGACCCTGCCTCAAAATAAAAATAAATTATAAAAGGGCTAAGGTGTAGCTCAGAGGTTACCTGGGTTCCGTTCCTTGTTCCAAAAAGAAAAGAAAAAAGAAATGTTAGAAGATTGCCTGATCTCACTGTTCCTGATCTCTGAACTCCAGTACATCTTACAGTTAACAAACTTATCTTCCAGAAATAAACCTGTCCCTGATAATTTTACTCCATCATGCAAAAATCTTTAATTATGATAAAAATGACAAACATTCCACAATCTGATCCAAAACTTATTTTTCATTTATGCAATAAATATGGGTATGTACCTACCATATACTAGACACTGGACTAAGTCACCTGTTGCCTTCTAGCTTTCTCTGCTCTATGTGTCCACATAGTCAGGGCATTTATTGTGTGCCAGGCATTTTTTATGTATTATTTCACTTAGGTAGGAAATATTAACTCCATTTTACAGAATCAAAAATTGTGGATCAGAGTAGTTACAAACACAACCAGTATTACCCTACTAATAAAAGACAAAGCCAAGGTTGTCTTTGACTTCAAAGCCTGAGGATTTCTACTATCCCATTAGAAACTTTTCTATTCGGTTGCCTTGATTTTCTGCCTCTATGTCTCTTCTTTCTTTGAACTTGATTATCAAAGCCTGGTTGAGGTCCCTCTGCCAGCACTCACAGCTACTAGCATAAATCCTCATAATTCACGTATAAGTCCTTCAAGTGCTGAATATATGACCCATGTTTGTCACTAGCCAAGTGCCCACCACAGTGTGATAGATGCTAAAAAAATGCTACTGGATGGATAAATAATTCATCTTTATTCCCCACGGAGAGTGAGGTATAAGTATTTAATGGATACTTTTAAAAAGTGACAATGGAAACAATATATATTAGAATCTAAGGGAAATATTTAAATAGTGATTTTAAAAATTCACTATCACTGAAATCTCCTGCTTAAAAAAAAATCCATTAAAAGAACAAAGAAACCCTACGGAAATAACAGGAAAAGAAATACAGGTGCGCTGAAACTAATGATGAAGAGACTAAAAACAAAATATCTATCAGTTAATCAAAATTGTAGCTTTTTAAAACAGACTGAATACGAGGTAACTCGTCAAGAGGAGGGGGGCAGCAGATCTCCAAAAACTAGGAGCCAGGGGCGCGCCTGTGGCGCAGGGCGGCACCGCGGGCCCAAACCCCTGCCGGCGGCCATGCGGGTTCCAGAGCCACTGAGTCATCCCGGGGATGGGGACCCGAGGGCTGGCTGCCGCGAGGGCTGGCTGACGGGCGAGTGACCGGCAGAGCTAAGCCACAGGAAGGCTGGCTGCCAGGAGGGCAGACAGGGGGTGACCGCGCGCTGGCTGACAGAACCGCGGCGGGGAAGGGAGTGGCCAGAGAGAGCAGTCGGCCCGCAGGACCGCCTGGGAGGCGGAGGACCCACAGGACGGGGGACAGGACGGGGGACAAGACGGGGGACAGGACGGGGGACAGGACGGGGGACAGGACGGGGGACTGGCAGGAGGCTGAGGGGCGGCTGCCTGGCAAAATGGCTCGCAGCAGCGGGGACGGGAAGTGACCGCCGCGGCACGTGGCGGCGCCGAGGAGCCCGCCCGCCCGCATCCCGCACCACGCCACCTGCAGGGCCGGGGCGGCCTGGCGCGCTCGACGCCCGCAGCCGGGACCTGCCGGCACGGCCCGCGGGGACCCTGCGCTCGGGACCCGCGGGCAGCTCGCCGCCGCTCAGGAACCCTGCCGCCGCCTCCCGCGGTTCCTTTGGGCCTCCGCGGGTCTCGGGCCTTGACCATCCGCGGCCGGAAACCCGAGGGCCACCCAGCTGCAACACGCAGCCACACTGGTGCGAGCCGAAGCGGGTCACGTAGACGAAGTGCGCTGGAGTCCGCCGCTCCCCGCGGCCCGCTGGCGCCATCTTACTCTGTCGCGCGGCCCAGGGGTGGGGGTAGGCAGGGGAGGGTGTTCCTCTGTGGGGGAGTGGGCGGGGCCACTGCAGGGATGGGGCGGGGCCACTGGGGGTGGAAAGCAGACGGGTAGGCATGGATGGGCCCTGGACAGGAGCCCAGCCCCTCTTAGGGAAAATCCACACAGCCAGCTCCTTCTCCTGCTCAGATCCTAGCCCCAGGGCCCCCTGAGGGCAGCCACCCTGATCCCCTCCCAGGCGCCATCTCTGCCGTGGTCTGAATGACTTGCTTGGTGGTAGTTTACTTGTTCACGAAGGGTCACCCTCCCTCCACCCCTGTGGCCGCATGCAGGCAAGGTCCTTGACTGTCCTGTTCCCACAGCACCTGCCCAGTGCTGACCACAGTGCTGACGTGCAGGCGTGCCACCTGAATCTGTGTGTAAATGAGCAGACAGATGTCAGAAATCACAGAGCCCGCACAGAGGGAAGGAGAGGTGGAATCTGCAGGACCAGCCCTCCCCTGCCTCCCTCCCTTCCTGGCTCCTCCACCGTTCCAAGCTCTGTCCCCTGTGCACACTGCCCAGACCTCGCCTCCTCCCTCAGGAAGCTTCACCCCTCCACGGGGACCTGACCAGTGCCTTTGGTGACGGGCAGACAGTGTGGCCTTTCGTGTTCTGTCCCTGCTGCTGGAAAGGGAGGTGTCAGACCTGAGGCCCAAGACTGAGGGTGAGGTGAGCATGGCAGGCCCAGCTGGGTCTCCGTCACACCGAATTCCTTAGGAAAGACTCAGGAAAGAGCCTGAGTTTCCTGGGTGTCAGCTCACTCTGTGGAGAAGACGCTTCTCGATTCTTCTGTGAGCGTGGTTCAGGCCTTTAAGAGCAATCCTCTCCCACCCCGTCCATCCTTCTCGGTGGACTCCAAATACACACACCCTGACGTCAGCTGTCTCTGAGAAATGCCACCAGCCTGCCCTATCAGCTTCCTCCGCCTTCCTTTGGTGCTAGGGGACCTTGGGATTCATCCCTGCTGACCCATCCCACCCAAGCCAAGGGCCAGCCTTCAGCCTGGAGTGGGCTGCTCCACCCACCCCTGACGCTCAAGGGCCTTCTCCCTTCTGAGCCTTGCTCCCCTCAGGGCCCCGTCCTTGCAGTCCTCAGAGGGTCCGGCCCCTCCCCTTCGGCCCCTCCCCCTCCACCTGTGCCCTTGGCCTCAGCCCCACCGAGCTGCTCCACCTCCTCAGCCGAGCCTGCCAGCCTCACTCCACCTACTGGACCCTCCCCTGCGTCCACTGGCTTCCCCTCACCTCAAAGCTCAGCTCAGGAGCCCTTTCTCACCAGGTGCCTGGCTCCCTATGGCTCTGAGGAGCACCCAGAACAAGCTTATCACAAATCGTGATCACCTGTTAACGGTCTACCTGCCCAGCTAGACCCAGCTGGCCTCAGCTCCGGTCCATTCTCCATTCACACGCTGACTCATTCACACCCTCTCCCCACCAGAGCCACCTCGAGGAGATCGGGAGCATCTTGGTTCACCGTTGTATTTTCAATGTGGAGCAGAGCACCCGACACACAATAGGTCCACACAGTCCCACCTTTTCCTTATACAACTTTCACTGAACACTTTCTTGAGCCAGACCTGTGACAAGCGTGTACCTGGAGTGTGTCATTTAATTCATATACCCACCGTATGAGACAAGTATAGTCACCCCTACTTATCTGAGAGACACATTCCAAGACCCCCCAGTGGTTGCCTAAAACCTTGAATAATACTGACACCTCTATATTGTTTCCTATACATACATACCTATGATAAACTTGCACCTTTTCACTCAAAGAAAGCACTTTATGGCCTCTCTTTGGCATATCCAAATTGCCAGTATCAGTATTCTTGTGCCTTGAGGCAGTTATTAAATACAATAAGTGTTACTTGAACACAAGCACTGTGATACCACCACGGTCAATCTGATAACTAAGACAAACTAAGTAGCTCACAGGTGGGTAGCATATACAGCATGGATACGCTGACAAAAGGATGATTTATGTCATGGCAGGATGGAGCAGGATGACAGGGATTTCATCATGCTATGCAGAATGACATGTGATTTAAACTTATGGATTACCCATTTAATATTTGCAAACCAAAGTTGACCAAGGCTAACTGAAACTTTGAATAAAGAGGGGATTACTTTACTATGATTCTGTCATAAGGATCATTAGCCCCATTTTACAGATAAGGAATAAAAGGCATAGATCAAGTTGCAGAGGGAAAAAAAAATCCCAGAATCACAGAGGGTTTCAGAATCAGGCAGCATGGCTCCAGCAGGCAAACCTTAACCCCTGCTCCAGACGTCCCTGTCGCCACATCTGTCACACTGCATAGTACCTGTCTCTCTCCTCCTCAACTGAGCAGCTCCCAGACAGAAATGATGGAGGGGAGCGTGAAGAAATGAATGAGTCTAACTGTGACAGCCAGACGCCCTTGCCGCTGCTCAGCTACCGTCAACCACCAGGTGGCAGTCACAGCTCCCAGATGAACGCCTGCTCCCTCCTCCCCCTCCCTCCCTCCCTCCCTCTCTTTTTAAAAATAGAAATGTGTCCATTTTTATTGTTATCAAGACGTGAGCTTGAATTCAAAACACAACTCCCGACTGGACTTTGGGAAATGGCACTTAGAGAAAGAGTCCCCATCCTCGCACACCGTGCGCATCCCCGCCCCCCTGCCAGGTGGGCCAGGGCAGGTGGAGCCGGGGATGCCCTTGGGCAGTGCACCGCACAGCCGCCGGGGCCAGGGTGAAACATAATTTCAGCCCAAGTCAAAGAAGCTTTGCTCCTCCTCCTCCGGCAGCTGCAGGAGCCCGGAGAAACAGAAGAGCAGCTCCTCCCAGAGAGCGCTCCACATGGTCCTCCAAAGGGACAGCGCACAGGACTGTGGGAAGGGCCTTCCACCTCGTCTGCGCCTGAAGTGCGTTGTCACCCTCCGCTGGCACTGCCACCGGCTTGTGGTGGCTTCCACTGTGTTCCCGAGAACGTTCCCCGACTCCACGTGGGAGGTGGGGGCTGAAAGCCCTGAGGCAGCTTCGCCTTTCAAAAAGCGAACCTGGGACTGCAGGGATGGAGAGAGGGAGGCCAGTCCACGAGGCCGCGGAGGGAGGGAGGCCAGTCCACGGGGAGGGAAACAGGAGCGCTGCGACCCTCCAGAAGGCCAGGCAGCGCACTCAGAGCCTTCTGGACGATGCCGAGGCTTCTTGTTTCTAAGACTGGGTTTCAGGGTGGGATCTTGGGACCCAAGTTTAGAGGTGCCTGAGGGTTCGAGCCTGTTCTCAGAGCAGTCAGCGGATCCCATGGCTGTTGTTCCACCTCAAATGTCAACGCCTCCATTTTCAGTCCTGGGTAGTGAGAGAACCGCTGGCCCCAGGTTACCCAGCCCAACGCTGAGCTGAGCTGGGGCCCAGTGAATGGCAGCCCCCACCCCTCTGGGGGCTGAGAGATGGTTCTCCAGGCCTGGAGCAGGAAAGTCGAGCCTGCCCTCCCCCCCTGCACTAAGCCACCTAGCACACACCTGGCTCCTACTTCCAGGGACTCGGAGTCTAAATTAATTAAGTTTCCTACATCATTTTGCATAAGCCGCCTCAGGCAAGTATCAGAATAAGGTAGAGTAACAATCGGAATTAGGATCAGTTCAATGCATCGCAGTGTCACCTGCCTTCTTGTTAAAAAGGGAACCTTCTGCCCTTTCAAACAAGAATTTCATGGAGACTCCACTAGACCTGCATCACCCATAGGACAGCAGCCGTCCCCTCCTAAAGGGCTTTGCCACCCTGGCTCCTCCACACCAGGTCTCCCAATTGCCAGGATGAGCAGGAATCGGCTCAGATGCCTCCCTGACACCCTTCTTCGGTGGCTCTCCCTAAATCTAATTGACAATACAGTTTTTAAAATGTAAAAATAAATGTAAAAGCCCAAACTATGAACCTTCTAGGAGAAAACACAGGAGAAATGCTTCCTGGCTTCTGACTGGGCAAGGATGGTTTGAACAAGACCTCAAAGGCCCCATCAATAAAAACAAAGAATAGACAAGTTGGATGACATCAAACGGAGAGCTTCTGCACAGAAAAGGAAACGCTCCGTGGAGGGAAGAGACAGCCACAGAATGGGAGGGAATATTCGCATAATATACATCTGAGAGGCCGTTGATGTGTAGAGGACTCAAGGAACTCGGCATCTCAGTAGCAAGAAAGCAGACGACCCAGTTCAAAATGGGCAAAGGGCCCCAATAGACATTTCTCCCCAGAAGATATTCAAGGAGGTACCTAGAAGATGCTCCCCATCCCTGATCATCAGGGAAATGCAAATCGAAACCACACCTAGAAAATGCCTCACTTCAGTGAGGACAGCGGTTATGGAAAAAAGAAGCCGGTGCTGGGAAGACATGGAGAAAAAGGAACCCCTGCCCCTGTTGGTGGAATTGAATTAGCACCGCCATTACGGAAAACAGTGCAGAGCTTCCTTTAAAAATAAATGAAAATAGAACTAAAATAGAAACCGGAGTCTCCAACCTAACTGGTGAGGCTCTACGAGGTGTCCCCTTGGCCTCTCAGCTCAGCTCCTGCCTACCCCTTGCCCAGGCATCCAGCCACACTGCCCTTCAGGCGTGTTTATCCAGCTTGGTGTCACCCCAGGAGGTCTGCACAGGTTGCTTCCTCTGCAGAACACTTCACCCCAGATTGCAGCACTGCTTGTTTTTTCTTGTTATTTAGATTTTTACCTGCCATCCCATCTCTGCAGCCAAGTAGCCCCTCTCCTTCCTGGTCTCCACCTCTCTTTCCTAATTTATTCCCCTCACAACACTAAACACTAACACTTTCTTGTTTGTGGATGTGTTTACGTGTTAATTGCCTGGGTTTTCTTTCTAGAATGCAAATGCCAAGAGGATAGGGACTTTGCTACTTTTGCCTCCACAATGTCCCCAGACACTGGGACAGTGCAAAGTCTTGTTAGGTGAATGAGTAAGTGAATAAGAAAACTCCCTG